CGGAAGCTCCTGGGGAAGGCCGCCCCGGGCAGCGCCGTCCCGTCGCAGGTCCCGAGCTGCGGCACCAACCCCGGAGGAAGCCCCGGCCGCCGACCCCGTCCCGCGAGGCACCTGGTTCCCACAAGCCTCCGAGGAGCCTCCCTGACTCCCCGCTCGGCCAGCACCCGCCGTCGTCCCAGGTGCCCAGCGAGGAGGCCCTCGGGTTCCCGGTGCCTCTGTGGGGAGACGGAGGGAGCGAGGCCCCAAGGCTGCGGGGAACCTGCAGGCGGCCGTCGGCCTCCCCATCTCGTCTCCCCATCTCGTCTCCGGAACTGGAAGCGGAAGGAAAAGGAGGGCAGCAGGGGGGGCGGGAGGGGGCGGCGGCGCTGGGCTGGAGCCAGGGCACCCCCTCGGCCTGGCCTCTAGGAGAAGCCGTCGACTCCGAGCGCACACACGGGCACGCGTGCCTACGTCCTGCTGGGCTTCCGGGGGAGACGCCGCCCAGCCGGGAAGTGGCCGGTGACGGCCGCCCCCCATTGCGGACGCGGCTGCCTGAGGCTGGGGCAGGTGCCCAGCTGCCCCGTCATTGGCGCTGCGCAGCGGGTGCTCCTGGTGGGTGAGTCCCAGAGCAACCCAGCAGCGGACTGGGAGCACCGGGAGCACGGATTCCGCTTCTCCAAGGGATCGCCGCCCATCCTCTGCCTCCCGGCCACCGACGTCAGGGACGGGTCCCTGCTCACCCCCAAAGCGTCACCGACTCTGAGGACCCCTGGCCGAGTTGGCAGGTCCACACCTAGACGGGGCTGCTGCGAAAGAGCAGGGGACGCGTGGGGCGGCTCCCTGAGGACGAAGGGTTCTGATCCGAGGTGCCCAGGATCTGGGTGTGAGACCTCGCTCGGGCCTCAACAGTGCGAGGATTTAAACCGCCACATGACGTCTCGGGGCCTTGGCCTCTTTGTGGTACAAGGGGACTGTGAGGCAGAAGGGAAGGGGGCGGAGCTGGAGAAAGGGGAGGCGCGGCTCGCAGGGCTCTGGGTCTCCGGGCCACTCACGCCCACTCCCGCGACGCCCACTCCCGCGACGCCCTGACGGCAGGGTGGCCTACGGAGAGCCTGGGATCCTGAGCCCCAGACAAGGTCAGAAAAGGGCCTCCCCGGCCTTTACGACCGCAGGGCTGTCCTCTTCTTGCCTTGTCCCCACCCCCGAGGGAGCTGCCTGGTGGCGCCTGACCCTCCACGGACGGACCAAGCGGCGCACAGCCTGCTTCCCTCCGGATGCGACCTCCTCATCCCCGGCATTCAGTGCTCTGGTCTCCTGACCACACAGGTGGGGAAGTCTGTCCTAGTCTAGAAATTATCCAGGGAGGAAGCTTCTAGAACATCTTGTGTACCATGTATTTGGGGCATCCTTCCTGATGTTTAATTTTAGGCCCCTTGCCGACGCTTAGACCCGTGAGTGTGTGTGAGCGTTGGGGTGGGGTGCGGGGCTGGCAGCTAGGAGCGCCCCGAGGTCTACTCGCAGCGACTGGTCGCGTCCCTCGGGGCCGGCACCCTAACGTGCCCACCCGTAGTAGTGGCTACTACCTGAACGACGGTCCCAGGGGTGACAATGAAGAGTTGCCGGGACAAATCCTCCCCGGAAACTGAGCTTTGACAACACACAGCTTTGTCGGGCATGAAGAACCGCCTGGAAGTTGAGGGAGGAAACCCCGGGAATGGCCACCGGAGAAGCCGGAGCGGCCCCTTCCTCTGGGTTTTTAGGATTAACAGAGCCGGGAAGTGGTCCGTCCGGCAGGAGAGGGTCCCGACCGCGGGCAGAGGATGGGCGGAGGCCCGTGGGCGGCACGAGCTCGGCAGAACCACCCGCGAGGCCCTCGCCGTTCTAAACCCTGTGCAGGAACCACTTGGTTCACCGTCGCCCAGAACCACCTACGTCACAGGTACGGACTCTGTCTCCACTGCACAGCCGGGCAGGCGGAGAAACAGGATTTGGCTCACTTGCCCGAAGTCAGAGCGAGTGGCGGCACCGGGAGGAAGCGGGGCGATCTGGCTACAGTCACCAGGCTGCCGCCGTGACGTGACCTTGCCCCGCGAGACGGCCTGAGTCATCACAGACTCCCCGTGCTCCCGAGAACCCAGGGCCGGACCCCGGCTTCTCTACCTCGGGGTCTCTGACCTGGTGGAGGACGAATAACCAACTGGCCGCGCGGATGATGATTCTTCACGTGGGAACTCTAGGGTGGCGTCCGTCCAGGGGGCCGTATTAACAGGTCATCATTTACTGAACGCTTGCTACCCTGGGGGGCAAACACCCTTGCCTCCCACGCACCCGGGAGGCCTTCCTAACAGGTGTCGGGTTGCGATGAGCTGCTTACGTAATAATCTGCTTATTCTGTGTGTTAGTCACTGGCGGGTAAGCGTCATGAGGGCGGGAACCAGGCCGGTTTTGTTCCCAACGGAACCCCCGGGGCCTACCGCACCCTGCGCACAGTAGGCTCTCAAAGCTAATCGTTGAATCGACGTAGAACTGACCTCAGAGTAGCTGAGCAACCGGCCCGGGCCGCCTGGACTGCAAACCCCACCCGCGCCGGGGTTGTCTGTCCCCGGCGGCATCCACAGCGGCTACAACAATGCACCTAGCGGGTGCTCACGTAGTAGGTGCGAACCAACAAATGTCCGTTGCACGAATGGAGTAATAAAGTACACACTTTGCACCCGGAGGCCCTGGGATTTTAAGCCAAGCCCGTTGGTTTGCTGCTCCCTGTTAACCACCACCCGGCACCGAGTAAACACCCTCCATCGCTCCCTCTGGCTTGACATCCCGGTTCTCAAAACTCGCCTCCCCCGGTCTGCAGCAAGCCCAGCTTCAGCCGGAGCCTCCACCGGGAAAGCCCAAACGCCAAAGCCAAAGAGGCAGCAAGCCTGCCGTCCACAGCCTCCGACTCCCCTGACTCCCCTGACGACGCTTCTGTCCCAGGAGGGGGCCGACAGCCACTCGGGCCGTCCACTGAGCCCCGAGACCCCCCCACCCCGCACCTCACTGGCCTTCCCACACCCTGGATCCGGGGGCACCTGCTGTGCCCCTATCTCCTCCCCCCAGAGCACTGCACAGACTCCCAGGGCAGGTGGGCAGGGGCAGGAGACTCAGCCGGGGGAGGACAGGGTCCGGGGGAGGACAGGGTCCGGGTGGGGGCAGAAGGGTCCCTGGAGGTCAGGCTTGCCTGGGGCTGGGAACACTGGCTCAGGGAGGCAGGGGAGAGGCTGCTCCCCATCTCCAAAGCGCACCCAGCCCCGGCTGTCTGCAGTGCCAGGGACACCCTCGTCACAGCTGGGCCTGAAAAGGAGGACGACCTCTGGTCTCTTCCTCCTACGGGGACAGTGAGCCAGGTCTCTCGTGACTTGAAGTCGAACACTTCTAGCTGCCTTCCCCTTTTCAGCTTTCCAGAAGCCCCCAGCTCTTCCTTGGCCAGAGCACGGAGAGTGGGCCAGGAGGGGCCCAGAAAAGGCAAGTCCCCCCACAGTGTCCTAGAGGAGGAAGCCAGGGATCCGCCCGATGCCAAGCGGGACAGAGGCTGGCCGCGGCGGGGAGAGAAGCCTGAGCTGGCACTTGTCATTCCCGGGGTGTGAGGAAGAGAAGCAGCGAGGGGTGGGCTCACTGCCCAGGTCTGTTTGCGAGCCGAGCGTGGGCCCCTGACGCTGACTCAGCCCCGGGGCCCACCCAGGCTGCAGCTGGGAGTGTGGGCCAGGCCCACCCCTTCCACCTGCCCCTCTGGCCCCATCTTAGGGACACTGGGCAATGGCTCTTCTTTGGGTTTCTCTAGTGGACACAGATGTTTCCGGCAGCCTGGGGTCTGCACTGGGACCTAAGCAAGGGGACAGGACTGGCAAGGGTCCAGGCTCTGGTCTTCCTCGTGCTCACATCACACCCTCCGATGATGTACCCAGGTCACCAGGAGCTGGATGGCTCAGCTTGAGGATAATTTACTGCTGGGGAGACCCTCTCGGGGTGGTAGGGGGCCGAGAAGGGGAAGGCACCCCCCAGAACCGGCCAGGTCACACCTTGGCCCACCTTCCTGTCTTTCCAGGTACACGGGGCCTAAGCACTTGCTCATCCCTGCGCTCACCCCTTCCAGCCGGAGCCCCGCCCGTCCAGCCTCTGCCCTGCTCCGCAGTGCCCCCCTCCTGGGCCATCGCCTACGTCCTGCGCCTTCCTGCTGCCACAGGAGAAAGCAGCCGGAACATCTACTTGTCCGCCTCAGCAGGGAATGGGGGGTGCTGCGGAGGGGCAGCTGGGGCTCCGGAGGTCCCGCCCGGCTGGGGCTGGGGGTGTCGGGAAGGCACCTGTGGAATGTGGGGACGGGACCAGGAGAGGAGGGGGGAGGGACTGGGTTAATGGGGTACGAGGACAAATCATCATATAACCCTTTTAGTCACAAAATAAATGAAGCCCCCCGTGTCCTGAGGGAAAGGGGGGCACACGGACGCGGAGGGAGGGGACCCCGCGTGGGGAGGGCAAGAAGGGGTGGGGAAGGGCAGGTGGGCTTGTGCCCTTCTGGGGCCGGAGCCCAGCCCTGCGGGAGGGCTGAGCGGGACGGGACGCCCTAGGTCGTGCTGAGTCATGAGATTTGGAGGGAGGCTCGGGCGCTCCATCCCCCTCGGGCGTCCCCGTCCCAGTTCCTCCCGACACCCCGACACCCCGACGGTCCCCCGCCGCCCTCTCCCAGGTGCGGGGTCGCGCCCCCTGCAGCCCGCACAGCCCCCACCTGGCGGGCCCGGGGTCCCCGAAGCGCGGCGGGTCTGGGGCAGCGGGGGAGGGGGCCGCGGGGGCCCGGGGCCCGGGGGGAGGGCGGGCCGCGGAGCCCCGGGGCTGGGGAGGGCAGGGACCTCGGCCGGGCTCCGCGCCCCACGCCCCGCGCCCCGCGCCCGCGCCCCGCGCCCCGCGCCCCTCGGCCCAGGACGGAACCGACCCGGAGGACGAAGTTCGGGGGAGCGGGGGCGGGGGCGGGGGCGGCGCGGACTTACCCGGCGGCGGCGCGGAGGACCCGGGGCCCGACGTGAGGGCGCGCGGGGGGGTGCGTCCCCGGCCCGGTGTCCCGCTGCGCCCCGGCCCCAACTCGGCCCGAAGTGCCTTTGCCGCAAGACTTGCTGAGCTGAGCGGTCTGCGCCCCGGCGGCGGGCGGCGGGCGGCGGGCGGCGGGCGGCGGGAGGCGGGAGGCGGGAGGCGGCGGGCGCTGCAGTGAGGGGAGGAGCCGCGGCCGGGGGCGGGGCCTGGCGGCGGGGGGCGGGGCCTGGGCTGGCCTGGGCGGGGAGGGGGTGGAGCGGAGGCGGGGCCTGGTGCGTCGGGGGCGGGGCCTGGCGTGTCGGGGGCGGGGCCTGGGCTGGCACTAGGGTGGACTGGGCGGGCCGGGGGGCGGGGCCTCATCGGGGCCGGGCGGGCCCTGGGATGGCCGGGGCGGGGCGGGGGCGGGGCCGAGGCGGGGCGGGGCGGGGCCTGGCGGGCCGGGGGCGGGGCCGGGGCCGACCTGTCCTGCGGGGCCCGCTCCCCTCCGCGCCCCGCTCCCCTCCGCGCCCCCGCCCCGCGCTCAAGGTCACGGCCGCGCTCGGGCCCCGCACAGTCGGACCGGAGCCGCCGTCCTCGTCCCCGCCCGCGACGGGCCGCCGCCGCCCCGAGCCCGAGCGTCACCCCCGCCCCGGCCTCCGGAGCCCGCGGCAGCTCCGGGCTCCCTTCCCGGGCTCGGGAGCCCTCTGGCCGTTTGGGGTCGCCGAGCCCCGTCCCCACGCGCTCCCCCACGTAAGGCCCCCGAGCCCGGAGCGGGGACGACGGGGAGGCTTCGGGGAACTCAGGGCGGGGAGGGTCTGGGAGGCGGTGGAGGGGAGAAGAGGGAGCCCCGCCCACTGAATGACAGCCCCGACCGCGGGTCAAGGTGGGCTCCAGCGGCGCGACAGCGAGGAGCCGCCAGGAGGCCGCGCGGGAGGAGGTGGCCGAGCTGCAGGCACCGCGCGCCCTCCTCACCCGCGCGGGCCCGCAGGAGCCGCCAAGGCACCATCGGAACAACCGGGGCCGCTCTCCGGGCAACTTTGGTGTAGGCCGGGCCGGGCGCAGCCGCCTCTGCGGGGGGACAGGCGGCCTCCGGGTCTGGCCGGTGTCAGCCCTCAGGCCGCATTTGCCGACTGCGAGAACAGGTGAAGGACTGCAGAGGGGACACGGGTCTGAGGCTGGAGCGCAGGGGGAGGCAGCGGAGGGACCCCCGGAGAACACCCCCAGCCTCCTCGCCCCGCAACACCGGGGCAGGGCTGCCCGAGCGAGAGGGGCGCGTGCCCGCCGGCCCCGGGCTCGCACTCAGCCCCGCTCACCTGCGCCGCACCTGCGGCCCAGAGTCTGATGTAGGAGGGACCGCACGGGCCGCCCTACACCGTCCGAGGACGCTGGGCGCCGGCCTCAGCGGGGTGCGTGCCCCAGTGCTGCTTCACCGGAGGGGCTCACCCCGTACCGAGCGCGCATCCGCAGGAGCATCTGCAGGAGCTTCCCGCAGGAGCAGGCGCGGAGTGCAGCCTCATCGCTGCGAGCCAGCCGCGCCAGCTGCCCCACTGCTGCCTGCCCCCCAGCTCTGAGTCCACCCGGGACCCTGCGGCGGGTGGAAGCAGCCCGCCGGCCTTTCCAGAATGTTTAGAGAGTCGATGCTACAATCAATTTGGTTAAATGAAAAATGCAGTGTCTCTGCCTATGGCCTTAATGTTCTTTTAATTCACCAGGACCAGGAGTGTCTGGGCTACAAACCTAATCAGGAGCTCAGCCTCCCTCCCGCTTATTCCCCTGGGCTTCAGCTGGAGCAGGAAAGGATGGAAGACACCCACCCTCCACCCCCAGCCAATTATCTGACCCTTTGTTCTTCAAAGGCCGGTCCTGGGAAAAAGGATGAGCGCCAGGTAGCCTTAGACGCCCGCCCACCCCCACCTGCATGCACTCCTGCAGGGCCATCCAGAGGACTGCCCCCCCCCCATACCAGCCACCGCACTTTGCACCCATGACGGCGGGAAGGTTGCCCAATTCCAGGAGTTCCCTGGGGAGAAAGAGCCTGTAACTCCACGGCCACACGGTTTCAGCACCTTCCACTGAACAGAGCTGCCCGGAGGTTTCACTTCTCTGGTTTTCCGTAGTAGGAGAGCACAGAGCAGGGAGATGCAGCCTCTTCCCCCATCACACCTCTCCCCAGGGCGGACCCAGCTTCCCAGCGCCTCCCCAGGCGGTGGCCTGTCTTCAGCGTAAATAATCCCATTCTAGGCCCCCCTCTCCCAGGGGCCGGTAGCACCTGCACTTCCTAGCACACGGATACTTTTCCCCTGGGTTCTGGGGGAGCCTTTGTCTTCCCAAAGCTTTTCAAAGCTCTGCTTGTTGTCAGAGCAAATAGAAAAGAGCCGGAGACAGGCCAGCCAACCTCACCGCAGGCGCAGGCCGGGCCAGCTCCCTGTTTCCTGCTTTCTGTTCCCACACAGCCGAACACTCACAGGCCCTAAAGCTGCGGTTCCCATCCTCCCTCCCCTCCACGGGTCCCTAGGACTCTTCTGGAGCAGTTCCTATTGTTCCTGACAACTAAGCAAACAAGGATTATACTCTCCACTGAAGCACACCTGCTTTACTGACCGGCATTGAGCAAACAGTTGTATAAATTTACTTATGTGCAATTCCTGTCACTAAAGGCCTTGGTTTTCACCTGCTAATCTGAGTTTGGACGTACCAACCTCAAGTGTATTTAAAATCTTACTTAAATTACCATATTTCATACTAAAATCCAACTTAACCTTTAGATATCACATAGAGATGTTCTTAATACAGAAGACATTAACTCATCAGATGGGGGGGAAAAAAACAAAAAACCATGAACAAAATCACATATCATATAATCCAAAGCAGTGGTGACCCCAGCATGATTCTATCCCAGCATGAGTGATCTCCCCCAACAAATACCCTACCTGCAACTGTGGGCCTTTGAAACCTAAAGACTTCAGTGTTTCTATTTATCCCAAGTTGGTGTGTGGGGTTGAACTAGAATCTTCCCTGAAGCCTAACTCAGTCAAATTTTGAGAGGGGGTTATAGGAAGTGATTCCCGAAATTAGTGATTGTGTGTGTGTGTGTGTGTGTGTGTGTGTGTGTGTGTGTGTCTAATAATATTCAGACTGGAGTTCTGTGATTTTTATTTTTTTAAAAAGATTTTATTTATTTGAGACACAGAGAGAGAGAGACAGAGACAGAGCACAACCAGGGGGAGGGGAAGACGGAGAGGGAGATGCAGACTCCACGCTGAGCAGGGAGCCAGATGGGGGCTCCATCCCAGGACCCTGAGATCATGACCTGAGCTGAAGGCAGATGCTTAACTGACTGAGTCACCCAGGTGCCCTTGGAGTTCTGTGATTTTTAAAAAGTAATAATAATCATTTCTTATTTGGAAAGAAAATAATTATACAATCCACAATCCTTAGGTTTAAATTAAAAATAAAAAAATCCCTGGTTTCCAAAAGGCCAGTGAAGGCCACCTCCTCCAGGAAGCTGAGTAAGTGAACTGTAGTTATTCCCTGTGCAAGGAACAAAACAAAAAATAAAATGGAGTCAAATAAAACTCTTAAATACAACAGGATGATGATGAGGAGGAGGGTGGAGAAGGACTTCTATCTATAATTTATAATTTTACACTCCTAGGGGGGAAGCATTTTAATGTTTTCAGGACCATATCTGGCATATAAAAGAAATTCACAAAGTACACAAATAATAACCTCAGAGTTTTATCATATTCCAGGAACTAATAAGTATCATGGGGACTTCATTTTTTTCATATTCTTCTATCCCCTAATTTGTCTAAAAGTGTTTTTTATTTTCTATCTCAGATTCAAAGGGAGTAATAATCTTACAGGTACCTGACTAGCTCAGTTAGAAGAGTGGGAGACTCAACCTTGGGGTCGTGAGTTCAAGCCCCATGTCGGGTGTAGAGATTATTTAAATAAATAAGACTTAAAAAAAAAAGGAGTAATATTTTAAACACCAGAATAGACGAGTCCTCCTTCCTCCGTGAAGCACCAGTGACATGGCTTCACTTCCCAGGTAAAAATCTCTGAGCGTTTTTTTTCAGTCCTCTAATAGAGAAGATGGTTTTTTCTGGATTAGTCTGCCCAGTAATTAGTGCCTCCTCCTCCAGCCACTTCAAAAAGCAGCAGGAGGTGGTATATGCAGAGACGCGCTTGCTTTCTGGAATGCGAAGAACAAGCAGCTCAGCACCAGGAATCATCCAAGGGTAGGATGTCTTCTCCCCCCCCCCCCCCGCCCCCAGGGCAAACACGGGCTTTAAAGCTACCCATCCCTGGGGTTCCTGGCTGGCTCGGCTGGTAGAGCTGGGACTCGCTCTTGGGGTCACGAGTTCGAGCCCCACGTTGAGGATAGACTTTACTTTGAAGAAAAAAAACAACTTTTAAATAAAAAATAAAGCTACCCATCATCAAGGAGATGGAAAACAGTAAGTCGTAACACTTCCTGAATCACTAACCCTGGCCCTTAAATGTCGCCAGTCCTTTAAAACCCTCCGTGAATTGAGGCTGTAGCACAGCTCTGCCCCTGGCTGCGCCCTAGCTGTGGGAGGGAAGCACGGAGCCGGAGCAGGGGACATCTGGGGAAGCAGCTCCAGGACTGTACTGCTTGCCTGGGTGTCCCCAGGACCACCTGCCACCCTCCCTCTCAGCCTTGGGTGCAAATCTGCAGACTCATGGACTCCTCCACGTGTTCACCATCGATCCGGTCCACAAGATTTTACCACCAGCAAGGATCTTATCTGCCAGGTGCGCTGTTAGGGCCTGGAGGTCAGAGCCCTTAGGGAAGTTAGGGAAGGCACGTGGGGAAAGGGGCAGCCACACGCAGGGAACCACACGCGCCAGCAGAGGAGTGTTTGGTGCTGGGGCAGGGGTGCAGGGGTGGGGGTGGCGGGGGGGGGCTGGAAAGAGCCAGGGACCACGTGGTTGGAGGCAGGAAATCAGGGCAGGCTTCCCAGTGGGGTCACCTTCAGCTGCCTTCAGGGACAGGACCCGTGGGGGG